AGCACAGCACCCATCATCCCAACCCACCACCCGCCGCCCCAGCCCACCCCTGGGAGGTCTCCCATTTAGTAGATTTATTCCTCGGCTCAATCCTCTATTTCACATGGATGACACGGACAATTAGCACCAATCTCAGTCCAGAGAAAAAGGAGGCTGAGGGGAGACCTTCTCGCTCTCTACAGCTCCCTGAAAGGAGGGTGTAGCCAGGGGGGGTCGGTCTCTGCTCCCAAGGAACAGGCGAGGGGACAAGAGGAAACAGCCTCAAGTTGCCCCAGGGGAGGTTCAGGTTGGAGATTAGGAAAAATATTTCCATGGAAAGGGTTATTCAGCCTTGGAATGGGCTGCCCAGGGCAGTGGCTGAGGCACCATCCCTGGAGGTGTTCAAAAGACGAGTTGACATAGTGCTGGGGGACACGGTTTAGTGATGGTTTATTTGTCAGAGTTAGGCTGGTGGTTGGACTAGATGATCTTGAAGGTCCCTTCCAACCTAGGTGGTTCTATGATTGTGTCTATTCACCGGGGGCCGAGCTCCAGCCGGAGCAGGCGGAAGAGCCCAGACAATGGGCAGATCCCATTCGTTTCCTCCACGAGGGTCCTGCCTTCTCCGCGGGCAGCGCCGATTTCCTCCAGCACGTGCTGTTCTCCCTTCACCCCATCCCTCTCCCCTCGGGCTGCTTTCCTTCTCCCATGGGAACTGGAAATAAGATCTCAAGATGGGGACAAAGGTCCCCGTGGGAGGTGGCACGTCTTGAATCCCCCAGGAAAAGGACAGGTCGTGCCCACGGGAAGGGCTGAGCCGATCCAGATGGTTCTATGATTGTGTCTATTCACCGGGGGCCGAGCTCCAGCCGGAGCAGGCGGAAGAGCCCGGACAATGGGCAGATCCCATTCGTTTCCTCCACGAGGGTCCTGCCTTCTCCGCGGGCAGCGCCGATTTCCTCCAGCACGTGCTGTTCTCCCTTCACCCCATCCCTCTCCCCTCGGGCTGCTTTCCTTCTCCCATGGGAACTGGAAATAAGATCTCAAGATGGGGACAAAGGTCCCCGTGGGAGGTGGCACGTCTTGAATCCCCCAGGAAAAGGACAGGTCGTGCCCACGGGAAGGGCTGAGCCGATCCAGGTGTCCCCTCTCCGGAGAAGGGCACAAGGTGCTGCTTTCCACAATCCAAAGACGAAACCTGTTCCCGGAAGATGAAGCCCAAATCTTGTCCGAACCCACTCAGAGGTTCAGGGCTGGAAGGAGAGAAGGACCCGGCCGACAGAAGGCAGGCAGGATTTATTTGGTTGTTATTTGGGATTTATTTGGTCACCGCAGATGACCACAGACCTGCCGTTTAGGCGGGATGAAGTGGCTGAGCTGACACAGACCCAAGATAATTATTTGAGCCTGGAGCTGGTGTTAACCCCCAACCAACACGACCCTGGGGGTCTCTGGAGGTGTCACCCCCCTCTCCCCACAGCACATCCCTCCCTGCAACACGACCCTGGGGGTCTCTGGAGGTGTCAGCACAGCACATCCCTCCCTGTGCTCCCAGAACCGCCGGCTGCGGAGGAACCGCTGGGCTCGAGGTGTCTGCAGCCTCGGGCCACCCAACGGAGAGCAGCAGGAATGCCAAATATTCCACTTCTCCCAATATCCAAGACCAAATAAGGCCCAGACGCCCAGAGAGTAAACAGGAGGCTGATCTACCAAGTTTGGGCAAATGGGATTCAGAGTTCCCCGATGCTGCAGATTTTGCCTGGCGGGATAAACTCCGTCATTCTCCCTGCGGGCACTTTTTCTTGTTTAAAAAGGAAGCCTCTGTGCACCCTCCCTCTGTCCCCACCAGCCCCGGCCACTTCTCTGTGAGGACCGTGCATGGGAGAAGTTCCACCGCTGAACAAAACCCTGAGCAACCCCTTTTGCAAGTAGTGAGAGTAAGAAAAACCCAACAACCCCCCAAAATGTACGGAATCGCCGTTCCCTGCCCTGCCAGGCAGACACCAAGGACTGTCCTGGGGTTTGAAGCCCTGGATACAAACGGGAAGAGAGAAACCGGGGAGATTGTGTCCCACCTTCTACAGAAAAGTAATGAATTTCCCCCAGATCATCTGCATTTGTGAGCAATAACCAGGTGCAATAAAGCATGGAAGCTGAATTAAACACCGCTCGGCAGGAGAGTTTGCTACATAAGTGACATTTATTAATGTTCTGCTCTATTTACAGTTTGAACATAGTAAAACTCCAAAGTGAATTTGCCACTTGGCAGAAAAGCACAGAAGTGCACATTCAACCTACACTGATAACGCGTCGTAGTCTCCGCTAACACAAATTATAAAAGCAGGAATTACAGGTATGTCAGGAATTGTCTCAAAAATCCCAAGCCAAAGGGAAAAAAAAAAAAAAAAGGCCTTAGTTTTGCAAGGGAATTGGTAATATTTTTTTTTTTATACAAAGTTGCAGGGTGATCTTTCAGTTTTACACTAGCAATGTGTGCTGTGAAAATCCCTGGAGAGTCCAAAAAGTAGGGAGTAAGGAAAGGAAATTATGCTACAACACTGAGAATACAGACTATTAAAAAAAAAAAAAAAAAAAAAAAAAAAAAAAAAAAAAAAAAAAAAAAAAAAAAAAAAAAAAAAAAAAAAAAAAACTACTATTCGTGCCACCTTCCAAGTGATGCTCCATCTCCCGGTGACACCTCAGGAATCCGCAGAGCCGGGTTTCCTGGCAGCGGCAGAAGGCGGGTAACCATGGCAACGGCATCACTGCATCCCCGCTCCCGGCGCATCCCCCCCCGCCCCAGGAGGAGGAGGAGGAGGAGGAGGAGGAGGAGGAGGACACAAAGCAAGTCTGTCCCCTGCTGGCCCCGGGGACAGGGCTCAGGCGACCCGAATCACTACAGAACTAGCTACGGAGGCTTCATTAGCACGTCACGGACTCACTGCAATAGCTTTGTCAAACATTAGCCACTAATGATTCAATGATTACAGAATTCTGCGTTAATTATTAAAATTTTACACCTAGAAACAAATAGAAAGAAATGCTTCTCCTTTTCTTTTTTGTTTGTTTGTTTTTCCAACAGTACTTTTATTTTTTTATTATTTATTTTAAAGCAGGTGACTAATTTTTTTTCTTCTGCTCCAGCGTCTTGATTCACTTCCTGCAGGTGTCCTGTTGCTTCTGGAGGGAGAACTCACTAACGCAGGAAGACGTTCGCCAGAAAACATCTGTTGGAGAAGGATATTGAATATTGGAACTATAGTTAGATTGTTATTTTGGATAACAGGAGGATGTAGCTCACAAAAGAGCGCAGGATGTCTGAAGGCTCAGAAAGCAGCTCAGCACACAACGCCGCGACTCCAGCGAAACACACGCGGTAGTTTTGTGCGTATTTTACAGTTTTGAAGAATTATAATTCCTTTGGGGGAAGCAGACACCAAATCAGACAATGCTCTTAGAAACAGCAGCATAAAAACACACAGGTGTATGGAATTATGCTGCATTCGCACTGTGAGAAGAAAATCTGACTCGGTCTTTAGCTGCTGCATCCTCCCAGGATAATTACGAGTTATTATTTTCTGGTTTGCACTAATTACTCCTCCTCTCCTCTCCTTCTAATTTTCTAAATGTATCCCCACTCTAAAACAAAAATCTCCATTCACCTGCTCTTTTCATTACGCCCTACAGAGAAAATCTAATCTTAAGAACAATAATACGCTGAAAATCCAAGGCTTTTGCGGTTTCCCTGCTCAGAATTTAGGATTAAAGATTTACCTTCAGGGGAAGTGTCAAAGTTGTAATATTTAGAAATTATTCCGGACATTTACCTCAATATATCTAAGAGAGAGAGTGCTTTTTGAAAGCTCTACAATGACCAAAAAAATAAACAAAAAAATTTGAAAAAACCTCTCCACCTCCATCCTCACGAATCAAGCAAAGTCTCTAAAATTGTAATTTCTGGAAAAGCCTGTGCAATAAGAAACCACACAGCTCCTTAATAAAGGAAAAATTAGGTCTCTAAAATTGTAATTTCTGGAAAAGCCACACAGCTCCTTAATAAATGAAAAATTGGGTTTCGGTAAAGAAGCAAAATTAAAAAAAAAAACTGTTCAGTGAGAACAAACTACAGGCAATGAAGCTGTTGCTTAAACGCTTACACGACGTGACGGAATAAATGGGGGGAAATAAACCCTCTGGTGACTCAGCAGGAATTGGAGAGGATATTACAAATCCTGGAGGAGGTCATAAACCAGAACTTTGTTAAACAGAACTGAAACACTTCAATAAATGGACTGAACTATTTTTACACACTATCACCAGTGGAAAACTCAAGCTGGAAAACACCACACAATGCCCGTTTTGTGTCGCATGCCCTCACTGCCGAGCACAAACGAAGCAGAATCTTACGCAATTTGCAGTTTCTAATTAAAGGGAAGTGCCTTTGGAAAAATCAAGGCTGGGTTTTAAACGTGAACAATTTAATGACCCCCCAATTTAGAGCGGGGGTTTGTTTGGTTTCTTTATCCCACTGTCCCAGCTGCAATTGCCTCAGTCCTGTCTCGGGGAACCGCAGTGTGATGATGATATTTGTGAAGGGAGCATCGTGTTGCACTCGCCATCTGGGAAGCCACCGATTACAGGATTTCCTTCCCCTCGGGGAGGGACAGTTAATGCAAGGCCATTATCTGCTGTAAGCAGGAAATTACGCTGGAAGGGTTCAACTACTTAAGCCTCCTCCTTTAAAGTCCCATTAAGAGGGCAGAACGTTCAGGTTTGGCCTTAAAAATGAAAAACTTTTCTGCATTCGGGTTTCTGAAGGATGCTGAGGCAGGATGGGATGCTCAGGGATGTGGGAGGGGTTTTCCAAGAGCCAAGGTCTGCGAGAGCTGAAATTTCTTCAGGAACTTGGCAAAAAATTCAAACAGCAAGCAAAATTCCAACAAATTGTTCTTTCTGGGACATAAGCCAAAGACACTGGTACAATCTTCTAACAACGTTCGGTGACCTTTACTAGTGTTTAGGAGACACCACGTGCTCCAGGCACAGTATTTATCCTGAAAGAGACACCTGCCAAATACAGTGCAATACCAAGGGGCTAAGATTTTGTTCTTATAATCCAAGTTACGCAATCTAATGAATATTCAGTTCCTCAAAGGAAAAGCTCAGGCAGAAATGTCAAGCATTCCTCTGTTCCCCACCAGGTCAGCCTGGACTCTGCAGAAACAGGAGCTGCACGTGGGACACCAAGAAACAACCATTTTCTGCCGCCTTGTGTTCTAAAAGTATTCGAGCAAAGAAAATTCTAGCTTAGAAGAGTCACTAAATAGAGTTAAAAACAAAACCGAAGAAATTCAGGAAAGCAGAAAGTTTACCTTTAGTAAATAAAGAGAACTCTGGTTCTGGGCAGATTGGAAAACGTATCTGGCATCTTCCTAACCTTTGCATAATTAATAAATCCTCTGAGAAACAGCAGAAAACCTAGATGGAAGAGACACATTTGTCCAGTTAACACGGGTTTTGCTTCTTCAATTAGAAAAGGAGCAGTTCAACTCACCATTCCCCGTATGGAGGGACATAACTCACTGGGATGCACAACAGCTGATTAAATACAAGAACTTTTTTGGTATCAGTAACACCTAATCTTTCAATTTCACGTAATTTCAAAAACAAACTCTCTTTAGCCAGTCACAAAATTTTTGCCTCCAAATGAGATCCAGTTACTTCCAAAGGAGGAAAAAAAAGGCAAGGAAAAAAAAAAAAAAAAAGGCCTCAACCCACTCTTGTATTTAAAATCTAAGAACAGATACAACGTCAGTTACTATGAAGACAAGCATCGTTGTCTTCTTTACTCCTTCTGGATGATACATAGGATGCTGCCACCAAGAAATGACAACAAAAGGACAGTGTTTATGCATACCTTTAAAAGGTAGAAGGCATTCAGTGAAAGGATGAGGACTCTGAGGGTTTCAGTTCAGTTTTAAATCTATACAGACATATTTTAATATGACCCAGTAATGCTATTTACTCAATCCCTCATTGCTCTTTGTACAGAGTTTTAAGCACGTGTTCCCTCTTCCCCCCAGAACAAACACTCACCTAGTACAAGGAAGACCCACCAAAGCCAGTACTGGCCATCGAAGTAACCGGGAAAATAGGTGGAGAACTGAAAAAAAAAGAAACAAAGCCACACAAACAACAAGTTAGAGCACATGGCACTTTCTGAACCCAAGTCTATTCTCCCCAGTTTCAGCAGCACCCATACCAAGCCCCCTGCACACAGCAGAGCTTACAGGCTGCCACACTCCCTCAGCTGCACAGGCTGCAGGGAACAATTCATCTCCACAAACCTGCATTTAAGGTTTTTCTACACACGTCAGACCAACTCCAGCCAAGGAGAATGGAACAGATTCAATACCCAGCCACGAGCTCTCACAATCAGTGGAGCACAAAGGCACCACTGGGCAAATACTCCTATTTTCCCTGACGTCTTTAATGCTTATAAACCCCAGTTGCAGTTTCTGAAGGGAAGAGCAGGTTTGCAGAGTGCATCACGCTAATTACTCTGCAAGGCTGGACAGTATGACAAATAAAAGAACAGTTGAGAAAGAAATCCCAGATCTGTGGAACCCTCCGATAAGATTTTCTATCGGGAAAATTACTGTCTACTGAACGAAAGGCACCGACACTGTTGGAGCACTGATGTTCACTATGTCAGTGATAAAAACAGTATAATTTGTTTTCATTCTCTTCCAGTTTAAAAACCTAAGAAAAGGGAAAATTGTTATCAAAGTTTAAGTCAAATCCACCTGTTTCACTGTCACACCTCTTAATCCAGCAAATTATTAACACCACTCTTACAAGGTGACCCCCAAAATCTTCACTTTCTACAGAAAAAGTTCACAGATGCTGTATTTACAAATTAAAATTCCTAGCCCAAAAGAGATTAGGTATGAAGTGCCAGCCCTAACACTAATGGTCTCTACCTCTACTTATGCTCAACTAAGGATATTTTTTGCTTGAAATCCAAACTTTGGCCTGGGATGTCTGTATGCCATTTCACAAACACCTTCTTTCCGTCCTCCAAATAATAGTTAGACTTTTCTCTTGTTCCATTCCTTCCAGCATCAGCAAATCTATGCCCTTTTTTTTTTCCCCCCCAGAAAGGTTTCTCTTTATTCCCCTCCAAGTTTCCATTCCTTCCAGCATCAGCAAATCTATGTCCTTTTTTTTTTTTTTTCCCCAGAAAGGTTTCTCTTTCTTCCCCTCCAAGCTTTAAAAACACAGCTTTACTTGCTTCTGTAGGCAGAGGTCTGTGCCCAGCAGGGGCAGCCAGGCTCCCACAACACAAACCAGTCACCCCTTTCCTCTCCCTGGGTGATCTGGTGGAGGGGAGCCCAGGGAATGTTTTAACTGAGTTTATATGGAAATAAAACAAATGAGAAAAGCCTGTTTCCTGCTGGTTGTGCCGCAGGCCCGTCACACCAGAGGGCACCAGCGGGCTTCTCCCAGCCTGGGACAAACCGGTGGCTGCTGCTGCTTCCTCCAGCGAACAGCAAACCTCACACCTCCTCACTTTCAAGCCCTTATTTCCCTCCTCTCCTCAGTCATTCTCACATTTAGCCCACATTTTAGAGAATTATTGGTTTTTTTCAGAGGAGCACCTAAGGCACATCACGCTGGAGAGAAACATCCCTGTGCTGACGGCAGAGCTCGCTCGGTCTGGATAGGTGTTTTATGAAAATCAGGTTGTTGTTACTGCTCAACACAAACACATTTTGATCCAATAAAGGAGCTCTGTCAGACAGAGCCCTCTTTGGGTGTGCAATCTTCATTCTCTTTTATTACAATAATAATTCCGACATATAAACAGGAGAGAATGATGAAAAAGCTCTGTTCTCAGTGAACAACAAACTCAAGATCTATTTTGTTATAAAAAGCTAGATTTATAACTAACTTCAGTATAAGGGAGATAAAAACAAGCCAGGGAAAAAGAGTACCAGGGTCTATGTATGTGGTTTTGCACTACAAAAACTTACCCTGACAATAAGGATCCACTTAATAAGAGACAGACCAAACCCAGAAATGGCCCCATATCGTCCTGCAGCTGAAGTAGTCAGACAGAAAGAGAGGAAGAATCCAATCCAGTTGAAGAGGAATGCCACTAAAAGCAGGAGAAAAGCAGCAGGTCAAGCCCACTTTATATTCCAAGGGAAAAAAAACCAAAAACCCAAAACCAAAAACATAGAACCCCTGCACACAGGTTTTTCCTGGTGCTCCATAAATATAAGCGTGAAAATAACTCCAGTTTTTTTGGGTCACTGCCTGAAACAGGTTTTTCCTGGTGCTCCATAAATATAAGTGTGAAATAACTCCAGTTATTTTGGGTCACTGCCTGAAAAAAAACTGAGTTCCATGATGTACTTACTGAAGAAAGTTAACATGAAAATGCCATCATTTCCTATCCTCAGCTGGTCGGTGTCATCAAAATCATCCCGTGTCACAAAGTCGTCATCCTGCAAACCAAAGGGAGGTGAGAGGTGGGTGGATTTAACCCAATCCAGCCCTTACAGCAACCCCAGAGCTGCACGTGGCTCTTCAAGAAAGGGCCAGAAAATTGTCCAGCCCCAAAAAGCAGTGTACACTGGAGGGATACAAAATTCCTTTTTACATTTAAGGAAAGCCCCCCGTGGGGGCAGGAGAGTATCCTAAATCTCAAAAGGCTCCAAATACAAGCAGGAAACACTCCTGCCTCTCATCCTGAGATGATGCAGAACATGAAATATTAAGTCACTGGCAGTATTTTTTATTTTTTTTAAAGACAGTCAAGATTGGGCATGTTCTTGTTCTTGCTGTAAAGAATTCCTCTACTCATCAAAAAAATTAAACATCTCAGCAAGAAATTTGGCTTCTATGAAGAAGTATAACGAACAGTAGACATCTAACACTAGCAGGGGTTGGGGAAGAAGCAGAACAAGAGATAATGTTGAAAAAAAAACCCCAAAACTTAAAAATTAAAAATAATTATTCTGACAGAATGGTTTTGTCATCCTTGTATCAGATACAGTGACCCCTGGAAAAGTCAACTAAATAAGCAGCACGAGTATCAAAGGTAAATGTGCTCAATGGCTCAACAATTAATCCTGAATCTTCTTTTTAAAAACCAGTGACAGTGCACAGGGACACAGTACAGTCCCTCTGTCAGCCTGCCAAACTCATCTGGGTACCACACGCTGGCATCACCGAGATGTCTTATATCATCAGAGCCACCCAGAGGGAAATTAAAAATAAAAATAAACCCAACAAAATCGGGAACAGAACTCTTTGGGATGTGTCACCCACACACTAATAATACGGGTTAATATTACCACCCCAGAACGCTTAAAAAAAACCCAGTCATGGTCATGCCACTTGATGGGCAGGAGTTAAACCAGGAATTCTACAGCAGAAAGGCAAAGGATGGAGCCAGCCAAATGCACTCACCCTCCCGGGAACCAAGGGAATTGTGGCTTCAGCCTTGGTTCTCTCGGCCTCATCGTAACTGGGCAGCGTCGTGGCCACGTTGTATGACGGAGGCTTCGGAAATCCTGAATCATCCTTGTAGTCAAAATAAACTAAAAAAACCAAAACAAAACAAAGTTATATAAAAGGTAAGTTGTTCATTCCTTAGAACACACCTTGTTGAGAATGAGGAGTGTTTTACTTGACTTTGAGAGACCCCACTACCCCAGACTGCTGAATCCTGCCCCCTCCCCACCCTTCCAGCCTCCTGCCATCCCAAACCAGCAAGGGAAATCCATGGGAGCACCTTACCTAATAGGAAGTAATACACAGAGCACTGCTTTACCACACCCAGCTGTACCTATTTTTAAGATAATGAGACATGCTGTGCCTGTCCCAACTTCAATAAACAGGAGGAGGCATATTTTCAAATCCAAGTGGTTTGAGCGAGTCCAAAAAAGGGTCACTGCATGTCTCAGGCCACTGGTGACCAATTTTGCCAGAGACTCCAAATTGTTTTCTGACAGAAGGGAAAGGGATTGGAACAGAAATCAAACACAGCACTTCTGAGCCCCATTTCTGAGCACTGGGACATGTTCACGGTTGGTGGGCAGGAGCAGGACGCTCAATAGGCAGCCTGAGAACCACAACATTGAAACCTCTGTCCAAAGCTGCTGGCTGTTTGAGGGACTGACAGTATGTTGAGTTTGATTCACAAATCGTATTTAAACAACTGACTATGAAAGTTCTGGAGCAAAAAAAATGCAAAGATTTACCTAAGTCAAAATACTCTGATATGTAACCAAGCTGCCATATATAGAACTGTCTGATACATAAAACAAGCTGTTTTGCTAAAAGCTATTAGCAACATGACAATATGATGATTCAGGAGAGTATAATCCGCATGACCAAGCCCTTAGTTATGGAAAACTGCAGAAAGAGTGAATTCTTTAATCCCTTTTAGCTAACAAGTCCTTTTTGGAAGGAGCACAGCACCATCCAAATGCCAAATACCAAGAGGAGAACCACAAATCTCACAGCACTTTGATTTTTAACTGCCTTCAATCTACTGAGAACACTGTGAAACGTAACTTGAACACCGCCTGATGGGATGACATCAGAGGAGTGTAGCCAAAATGCATCTCCTAAACCACAAGCAACAACAATCTCTCTGGATCAATTCCGATCCTTCCAGCCTCGGTAAGGATGCTGCAATGCCATCCCTCAATAAGGAGAACAATTAAGCAAGAGTGAGAGAGCAAACCTGGCTGCTTCCTTCCCGTTGCACTTACCTGTGTTCTCGGCAGAAATGCTGCTGTAGGGCGGCGGGGCGTCGCTCACCACTGCCGCAGTCTCGCCTGGCTCCTCTTCATTCTGCAGCTGAACAGACCCACACACCAGAGAGGTTAACGGGGCTTCTCCAGCACTGCAAAATTACCTTAATTGCACACAACAGATCCTTCTGGAAGTGGACTGTTCTACGGCACCATGGGACACACGAGCAGCTGCTCAGCTTCCCCCCGCAGCACTCCCGCTTGAAATGATCGATACGCCATCTCACTTTTAATGTGTTTTTAAGTCGTATCCCCACACACCTGGACTTGGACAAAGCACAGCCTACATCTTTTCAGTACCTTTCCATTTCCCTGGCCCTTTCTCAAATTCCTCAGGAGCTGCAGCTGCATCTGTTTCAGCCGCGGGAACAGCAGGAGATACCCAACAAAAAGACTCCATCACTGCCCGTGGCTTTGCCAAGGAAGGGTTTTTTTTTAATGGATACCTTACATAATGACACGTATCAGTATGAATCTTGCCATTTCCCTTCAACCTTTCACACCCTATTATTGAAAAGGAGAGGGTTTATTTTGGGCACTGTGCTTCCCACACGGGCTCTGTATAAATAACCACGGGGCTCATCGAACACGGTGCCGCTCGCAGGGAGCGGGTACCAAACGCCGGCTTTGATCAGGGACGCTGACAGCATCAGGCCAGGAGCCTTCAAAGCACAACACACCGGGAAGGAATTTACAAATCACCTGCCATCTAACATATTTTTTTTTCTTCTTCTTTCTGTTTTTCATCAGCTCATCAACAACGAAATGGAGTTTTGATGCAGAAAGACATAACTCATTTCAAAAAAAGCACCTTGGGACCGAACCGCTTGCCTGCACAGAGCGGTGCTACCCTCCTGTAATCACCACGAAACAGCAGCAACATCTTCCTTAACATCTTCTCAAACTCTCCCTCCTGCACACTCCTGAAGCCATCCAGGATGCTTGGCTTTCTTTGCTTTGGAGAGATGTGCTGCCATTCAAGTCCTTCCCAGGCATTTAATGCATCTTATTTGACTTGTATGGCTCATCAGGAAAAAAAAAACCAAAACCCAACCAAACCCAACAAATCAGCTCACACTTCTAAACCAAGGTCTTATTTTATACATAACTGTTCTGCATCTTAGGTTTTTATTCCTTTTGCTGCCTTTGACCAAAGACCAAACTACATCCCTGTCCTCTGTGGAAGTCAAAACCAGAAGTTTTTCAGAGTTTTAAGTGCAATTCACTGGATGTTTGCATCCCAACCACAGCTGTGTCGGAACAGAGGGACATCCGAGTCCCACAAGCTTGCTGGGAAGAGCGTGGATTGTCTCATTTTCTCTGCCATTAAGCAACAACCGCTCACCTCCATCCAAGACTGGGGAAAGGGAAGACATGACACTGGGACGCACTGGATAAAACTCAGCAGCACTGTCCCACTCAGCTGTACCAGAACAACAGACCACCCCAGCCCTGCCCTGTTCCACGGGCCGGTGAAGCTCACCCGGCTGCTGCTGCTGCCGGCCTCCTGCCTCTCCCCAGTCCCGTTTTCCAAAGAGGAGAGGTGGAAAGAAAAAGAAGTCGGAAAAAAGGCTTAGTCAGGCCCAAGCTCTCCGGGCAGGGACTCCCCACGTGGCACCACGCTGAACCACTTCCTTCAAGGAGGAGAAATGAAGTGATCCCGGGTGAAAAATTAATGGATATTACAGCGAGAGCAGCTCCCGGCAGAGGAGCCCTGGGGGCCACCAGGAGACATCTAAAATGCACCAAACAGGGTGGAGGTGGCAGGGACCTGCCTCCATGGCTGCAGCTTTAATTAGCCTCAGGGCACCAAGCAATTAACAGATAAACTGCAGCAACTCCTACAACAGCAACGTATCTTCATCTTTTCCAAACCAGCTAACTCAGCGTGAGTCCTTACCAAGAAATAAAAATGCCTTTTTCTTTTTTTTTTTTTTATGGACTCCATGGAGTTCAGTCATTAGAAGAAAATGCAAACTAACTTGGGAAGTAATTGCCTATTAAAACAAGCTTAAAAAAAAAATAAAAAAAAGTAGAGAGAGCACTGCTATAGAAATTCAAGAGCATGAGAGGGGCAACCTGAGGGATAACCCAGGAAAATGCTGAGTCAGACTACTTGATTCAGTCTCTTCAGCTCTGTAGTGTCCGAATTTTCAGATAATGTAGTCTATGAATTTTCAGATAATGCTCCACCAGGCTCATCTTCAAGCTATCCATGAAAATTCAATATTTCTCCCCTTTTTTTCTTCTGCCTACACAAGGTCCAGTCTATCAGCAGGGAGGAAAGGCTCCGACAGACTAGGGATGGTCCTGGGTCCCACATGCCCTGTGTTACCTGCGCTCCTCGTGAGGGGGTGGCAGAAATTAAACCCCTGATGTTCATAAGAAAACATGACATTTACAACCTAAAAGTCCAATCTCCAAGGAGGGGGAAAGGAAAGCACTAGATGTGACAATGCTGCAAGAGACAAGACAGAAGAGGATTGATTCCTACCACTGGAATTCTCAAGGTTCTTCTTTCAGGAGTAAAAAGAAACGTATATTCTTACAACTACCCCATGTGGGAGAAAGTCACTCCTGGCTTCAAACCATTACAATTCAGGTAATGACACAAAAAACCTAGTTATTTTTTCAAGTTGAGCTAGAGGCTGTAGAAGGTATACAGTTAGAGAAAACAGATTTTTCTTCTAATGTACAAGGTACACAAATGCCTTCCAGCCTTTTTAATGATTCCAGGCATCTAAAATTCAACTAAGTGCTTATTAGCAAAGCAGAAGGGGTTCATGTGACAGGAAGAATGAGTCATCGCTCGCCTCGCATGGCCCGGCGCCTCCTGCAGCAGTGGGTACAGGCAGTGAGGAAGAGGAAGGCCATGCCACTCGGGTCGGGGGGCAATTCCCCCTGGGGCCACGGCCGAGGGTCTCCAGAACCCTGAGAGCCTGGTGAAAGCAGCGTTTGGGTGAAGTCTGTTTTGCTGAGCTTGTGGAATATTCTTTCTCTGAGTCACTGGTGGATTTTAGCTTTCAAAGCAGGATTCCTGTATTTGTGGCATTAAAAAAGAGGCAGCAGTCTTTACAGCAATGCATACAGCTTCTGGAGCAGAGGTTTGGCTGTGATTTTTTCCCCGGATTGCTGTAACAGCAGAAAGTTGCCTGGCAGAGCAGGAGAAGACCCTGGGGTATGTTTATTTTCCCCAAAACACCATCAGAAGCGCGGCTGTGAGCAAGATGCCGCCTCTTTCTTACAAAATGTTTTTGCCTGGCAGAGCAGGAGAAGACCCTGGGGTACGCTTATTTTCCCCAAAACACCATCAGAAGCACGGCTGTGAGCAAGATACCGCCTCTTTCTTACAAAATGTTTTGAAATACTTCCATGTAAACTTTGAAGAAAAAAGCATTTCCAATAAATATGTTTGTTAATTCTTCCGAATTCTCTAAACTTAGCACTCGGGCTGCTGACACTGGTTTTTACCTTCCCTTGCCTCAAGTCCTCAGGCTACAGGGAAATATTCTTTATCAGCGTTACTACAAGCTTTGCCTTAGCAACGTATCACCAGTGGTGGATTAACTCAGCTTTGCATCACCAGGGTTTACTGCATTTCAGCTCTTATTTTACGTTCTGGCACGTACAGCAGAACTGCATAGAAATCCCACAGGAATTCTGGAATGAAGATAACCCCGATCAGATCTCATTTCTGTTGTTACTATGGTTTCTCTGAGATTTCAAAACGGCAGGTATTTAGGCTAATGACAGAAAGAGCATCAATTTTTTTTTTTAAAAGGGGCTACAATTGATTTTTTGCGGAACAATGAAATCATAACCTTTGCAAGAAAACATTAAAATAAAATGTGTATAACTACTGGATTTGAGAGTACTCTGGCAAGCCAAGAGCCTGCCCATGAAAAGGTTACGCTTCATTCCCATTACAACACACTTTGCTTTTCTCCTTCTCTCTCTCTGGCCCTTGGGAAGCAATTGAAAGTTGCTGCCAACTCTGAAGAAGAGGAGAATTATTTTTATTGACTTACGCTTCACTTTAAACATGCTCTGATTTGAAATCCTGACTTTTGCCCAATGCAGTTGCAGATTCCTGTAATCTAATATCAGCTTATTAATCAGCAGGAATAACGATAAGCTGTTAGACAAGTCAACCCACATGTATCAACCCTCTCCTTGATGAGCAAATAACTGTTTTCTCCCGTAGGTGCTTCCAGCTCCTTTAACTGATGGAAGTGAGAGCCCCTAATGGCATGTCCCCCTTGCTACCTGTGCCCAGGGACAGCATGGGGTGTGCTGTGTGGCTCGGGGGGGAACATTCAGCAGCCACACTGTCTGACCAAACCCTCCCCAGGCTTCTCCCTGCACCGGGAGATGCTGATGCTCCTGCCCAGGCCTCCCACCAGGGAACAGCCCAGCTCCCCCAGACAGCCCAGCTCTGGGGAGAAACCTCCCAAGGTCTCTGCCAACCTGAGCTACTCCTTCATCGTAATAAAGGAGTGAAAATCGTGCCTCCACTCCCCCATCCCAAAAAGCACAGTTTTTTTTTCACCTGGAGGGATCAGCTCCCTGCCCCTCTGCGAGCTCAGAGCTGCACCCAGGGCAGCGGGATGCACAGGGCAAGTACCAGAAATACGTTTGCAACGACCCTCCCACCTACCCAAGGTAAAAACCATAAATCAAAACAGCTCTATGTCCCTCAAAAATGCAACCCGTGTGCACGAGGATGTTGTTCTTCACTGACTCACTGCAGTTACTGGCCTGACAGCACGGAAATACACCTCAGTCCTGGGCAACAGGCTGATCTAATTCCCTTGCCTCTTCAAACGGGGAATCATACTGGTCTGGTGGGACTGTAAACAGGCACTGGGGCCAGCACAAACCTGTGGACGGAGCGTCCTTAGGTCTGAGCATTCAAGGTCCTAATACAGAAGAAATAAGTTTAAGTCTTAGATAGCTGGAATTAAAATTCAAACACTTAACAAAGCATAAGGCCTTATCGTAATATTTAGGACTGCATTAACTTTTTTTTTGTGGACATTAAGACATCACAGAAAGAATTCCAGATCTTTTTAAAAATACTGCATTTCAAAATACCACATTTTTTTAATTGTCATATGAAGAATCTTAAGTATCTTCAATGAAAAAAGAATCCCATTGTGCCACCATATATCAAATGTGGATATCTCACAAGAAGAGGCAGAAGCAGAATGAATAGATACAACTTAATAACGATTTTTTCTTTACAGTCCCAATGATGAAGAATCAGAATTCACAGACACACCACGCTTTTGCTACTTGCTTTCACTATGGCTCCTGTCAAACCGCGACGCCAAGCCCACACAAAGAGGTACCACATCCCTTGGGAGCCACGTAACAACCAAAGCCTGAG